AGCCTTTTATTGAGACAGAACAAAACAGGTGAGGGGAGTAATTAACAATGACTGTGTGCTGAAGGCTCGGGCTCTTCTTCCACAAGGAGCACCTAGGAAGAAGGGCCCAAGGTCCACCCCTCAGCTGCAGATCATCTTGCTCAGATGTCATCTGGCTCTTGGTGTCCCCCACACCCCAGTCCCTGTGGTGGTTTCTGACAGAGTAAGCAATCACTCTCCCTTGGCTTGACGAGTGATTGTTTTAGCTGTTTATATAGTTTTTAAAAAATGATCATATTCTTCAGCTCACATTTCTGAAGTCCCTCCAATTATGTTAGCTATTTTCTTCCTCTCAGTTTTATCTTGGTTATTTATTTCACTTAATTTGCTATTTTATGTTGAACGAGATTACTTAACAATACATATCAACATTAAGATATCTTTTCATGATTTTTGAAACTTTTTCTTATACTGAAATCTATCTTTCTATTTCTAAATTCTTCTAACTTATTCCTTTTAAAAATTATTATTGTTTTGTTACTATTTCACTTATTAGTATATTCTTTTATTGTTCATATTAATAACGTTTATTCATTTTAATGCCATAAAACATTTGTTTTCATCTCCTTAAACAAACACCTTTGCCTTTTATCATTTTTCTTTCTCACTTTTTAACATTTTTTTATTAAATCATAGCTATGTACATTAAGGCAGTCTGGGGTACAATGTGTTGGTTTTATATACAGTTTGAAATATTTTCATCGAACTGGTTCACGGCATTTTCTTAGTTATTGTGTTAAGACGTTTATATTCTACATTTAGTAAGTTTCACATGTACCCTTATAAGATCCACCATAGGTGTGGTCCCACCAATCACCCTCCCTCCACCCATCTTCCCCCTCCCCTCTCCTTCCCTTCTCTTTCTCACTTTTAAATGGAGAGAAACAGCATTTTTTCTGCAGAAGTGAATTAGATGTGACATGAATGGAAAAGATGGATGAAAATGAAGCAAATTATGTTAATTAAAATAAATGAAGCACAGAGAGACAAACCTCACATGTTCTCACTGATATATGGGAGCTAAATGTTTAAAACAATTGATCTCAGGGAGACAGAAGAGAATGATGGTTATCAGAGCCTAAGAAGGGCACTGGAAGGGGAAGGATAAAGTAGGGCTGGTTAACGGGTGCAAAAATGTAGTTAGTTGGATAGAGTGAACAATATTTGATAGTACAAATAAGTGACTATAATCAAAAATGTTAGGGTCTAATTTAAAATAACTAAAAGAGTGGCGGAACTGGAATGTTCATAACACAAAGACATGACAAATGCCTGAGGTGATGTATACCACACTCACCCTGGTTTGATAAATTCACACCATATGCCAATAAAAACAATTGCATGTATCTTATAAAGACATGTAACTATTATGTACCCATAATAATTAATTAAAAATATTTTAGAAAGCCTAACCCAGAGCAAGCAAGGCCCTCTGCGCCTCTCTTCAATTCTGTGAAGGCTTAAAGAGATGATAAAGCTGCAGAAGAACAGACCCAAGCTAGTAGAGGCTGGTTCATGAGGTTTAAGGAAGAACGCTGTCTCTGTCCGATAAAAGTACAAGATCAAGCAGCAAGTGTTGGTGTAGAAGCTGCAACCAGCTATTCAAAAGACCATCAATTAAGATCACTGATGAAGGTGGATACACTAAACAGCAGATTTTCAGTGTAGACGAAACAGCTTTCTTTTGGAAGAAGACACCATCTAGGACTAGCATAGATAGACAGGAGAAGCCAATGCCTGCCTTCAAACTTCAGGGGACAGCCTGACTCTCTTAGGAGGGGTTAATGCAGTTGGTGATTTTTAAGTTGAAGCCAGTGTTCATTCACAATTCCAAAAATACCAGAACCCTTAAGAATTAAGCTACATCTACTCTACTTGTATTCTACAAATGCAACAACAAAGCCTGGATGATGCTGCATCTGTTTTATAGCATGAAGTATCCCTCTCCCAAACATATGCGATTTTCCCAAACATATGCTACTGTTTGTACCACAGTGTACTAGGAGTAGAGTCTTTGGAAAAAAACTGGGTTTAGAGAGGTCATGAGAGTAGGGCCCTCATGATGGAATTAGTGTTCTAATAAAAAGAGATACCAGAGAGCTTGCTGTGTACCTCCTATTCCAAGCATACACAAAAATAGGTAAATATAAGCACTAATGGACAATGACCACTAATAAGCCAAGAGACAAGGCATTAGAATGAAATCTACCTTGCTGGCCTTAATCTTTAACAACTGTGAGAAATGTATTTGTTGTTTAAGCCACCCAATCACTTGTATTTTTTTATGGTAGCCTAAGTTGACCCTGAATGATCATGTGTAATGCAACCTTGCTGAATTTGTTGGTTCTAAAAGCTCCCCCTATCTCTACGTGTGTATGTTATTTTATTTCTTTGTATACAAGATTATGCATCTGTGAATAGACATTTTTACTTCTTTGTCTATTCTGGATGCATTTTTCAGTCTTTTCCTTGCCAAATTATCTTGACAAACACTTCCAACACAATGTTGAACAGAAATTTCAAGAGTGGAAATCTTTCTTGTCACTAATCTTCAAGTAAAAAATTCTGTTTTTCACGCTCAAGTATGATGCTAATTGTGGGATTTCTCTAAATGCCTTTTATCAAGTTGAGAAATTTCTCTTCTGTTCCTAGTTTAAGTATGTTTTTTTAATCATGAAAGGATATTTGTCAAATACTTTTTCTGCATCTATTGAAATCAGTATATAGTTTTTATCCTTTAGTCTATTAAATGGTACATTAGCTTAATTGATTTTAAGACCCACTTGGTCACACTGTACAATTCTTTTTTATATGTTGCTGATTCTGGTTTGCTAGCATTTTTTTTTTTTTTTTTTTGAGACAGCATCTTGTCTCACTTTGTTGCTCTTGGAAGAGTGCAGTGGCATCGTAGCTCACAGTAACCTCAAACTCTTGGGCTTGAATGATTCTCTTGCCTCAGCCTCTCAAGTTGCTGGGACTACAGATGCCAACCCCAAAGCCAGCTATTTTTAGAGACAGGGTCTTACTCTGACTCAGGCTGGTCTCCAACTCTTGAGTTCAGGCAATCCACCCACCTCGGCCTCCCAGAGTGTTAGGGTTACACGTGTGAGCCACTGTGCCCAGCCTTTGCTAGTATTTTTAATAGGATTTTTGTATCTATTTACAAGGGACATTGGCCTGAAATTTTCTGGTGATTTCTTTTTCTGGCTGGTTTTAGTGTAACCCTTGGCTTAGTGAATGAGTTATAAAGTACTTCCTCTTCTTCTATATTTTGGAATAGTTAAATTTTTGGTGAAATTTACCAGTGAACCATCTGAGCCTGGGCTTTTTATAGTGGATAAATTTTTTTCTTGCTAATCAAACCTGTTCACTTATTTTAGACCTATTTAAATTTTTTATTTCGTCTTGAGTCTGTTAGTTTTGTCTTCATAGGTTATTTGCCCATTTTATTTGTCTGACCTAATTTGTTAGCACACAGTTGTAGTAGTCCTCCTTTTTCCTGTTTTATTTCTGTAAGGTGGTTAGTGATGATTCTTTTACTCTTGATTTTATTATAAGTCTTGGCAAAAGTAATTTAAACCTTAACCAATGGTCTGCCTATTTTGTCTATCTTTTCAGAAAGCCAGCTTATGGTTTCATTGATTTTTCTCTGCTAATGTTCTGTTTATTTCTGCTCTACTCTCCATTACTCCCTTTCTTCTGCATGCTTTTGGTTTACTTCTCTGTTCCTTTTCTAGTCTCATGCCTTTAGTCTTGCCCCACCTTTTCCGGCTTATCTTCCTCAACTGTTGTCAGATGCTGAAAATCTAATTGCTCCCATTCTTTACGAAGTAAAATTCCAATTCTGTTGAATGGAAACAAGTTCCTTCATGACCTTAACCAGTTTATTAATCAAAAATCTACCTTTCCACTCATATCAAATAACCTGGAAAAAAATTTATATTTTTACCTTTATTCTTTTGTACATGTTCTGTCATTTTGTACGTTTTCTCATTAATGCTTTTTTAACTTGTCATCAACTATTTTTGGTTATAATTCTCTTCCCTACTACCACTGAACTTGGCAAAAAAATTTTTTTTGAACACCAAATTATGTATCAATGCATGCTTTCTTCATTGTTCTGTAAATTCCAGTGTATGAGATCTCATCTTGGAAAGTACCTTCCAGTAACTGAAACATAATAGTGGGTGCTCAATAAAGTATTTATGGAGGTAAGTAGGAGGAAAGTCGTAACACTTCAACAGGGAAAATTAGGAAATGAACTAGGTACTTCAGCAAATGAAATGGGAAAAAGCGTTGAAATAGTCTTTCACTGCATTGGGCCTTGGTTCCTAACACCGAGAATACTGACATCCTTATGCTGAAGTATTAACTTTTCAGCTGAGTGATCACTAATATCTTCATTTTGCTAAACTGAGAAAGGAAGGTTGAGCAGAATGCAGGTTCCTAGAGTATGTAAGAGAAGTATTTTGGTAGTCTAGAGCAGGAGTCCTCAAACTACGGCCCGCGGGCCACATGTGGCCCTCCTAGGGCATTTATCCGGCCTGCCGGGTGTTTTTGCCGCCGCTGCCTGTCCTGCTTAGCAGCCAACTTGTCCCCAGGCCCGCAGTCCGGCCCTCCAACGGTCTGAGGGACAGTGAACTGGCCCCCTGTTTAAAAAGTTTGAGGACCTCTGGTCTAGAGTGTTTCCCCCACTCCTTGGACAGGCCATCAGCGGTGGAGGGACAGGAGCTGAGGCAGAAGAAACACCACACAAACCTCTCGGCAATTGTCTTCCTCCAGTCTGGCGGGAACGCCCGTGTACTCAATGCGCAGGCGTCAATTTTCTTTCTTTGAGATGGGCAGGGCCAAGCGTTTGCTCCTTCGGCGATCCTAAGAGGGTGGAGCCAAGTTGTTTCCAAGGTGACGGAGCGGAAGCCTCGGTGGACGATTGAGCAGGTCTGAGCGAGGTTCCCAGAGGGCTGCGCGTGGTCCGCTCGTCCGCGCTGTCATGGCGGGTGCTCTGAAGAAGGTGAGACGACTGGAGGTCACTGTTGGAGTTTAGATTGTAGGGGCAGAATCAGTCCGATACTCGCACCTCCCACTGCCAGCGGCCGTAACTGGCGTGGGCGCGGCGGTTCCTTTTGGGGTGTCGTTCTGCACTGCCTTTAGGGGTGACCAGGTTAGTGGCTTTGCTTAGAGAGGCAGAAAAAAAGCTCCCAGCAGGCAGGACAGAGTAGCTAGCAGGCTTTAGACAGTTTTTGGCGGGGGGCTGTGCTTTTGCTTTTCGTTAGCGTAGTGGACGCGTGGAAACCATAATAAACAGCATGAATCGTGGTTTTGTTTCTGTACAGACTACTGGCCTTGTGGGATTGGCCGTATGTGAGACCCCACACGAGGTATGTACCTGTTTTGTTTTACCGTTTTTAAGTTCCTAAGGAAGACTAAGAGCCCTGTGACCTTGCAGCCATCAACCGTTGCAACGTTAATGGGATACTTATATTTCAAGCCCCAAAGACAGTGTCTGTCCATTAAGTTGGTCTGATGTCCCACCCCCTTTGCCGTGACCTTTTTGTCATGCCACTCTTGTTGACTTTTTCCTTGTCATTTTCGTGACTTCGCCTGTGGGTGTATCTGTATTTCCTTTTTTGCCTTCCCTCCCACCGCCTCCTGCCACAGTTTCTGCTTAGGGATGCCCTAGATTTCCTAGATTTGAGCTTACTGAAGATGTTGCCTTATCAATTGCCCTGTTTTCTATTCTGCTAGGTTTTTCCCATCAGTATTCAGAAATGCACCCATCAAAACCAAAACAAAATAAAACTCCACTGATCCTTCTCCTCCCTTCAATAATCGATCCATTTCTCTATTTCCCCTTTCAGGTAAAACTCAAAAAGAGTATCTGTACCTGCTGTTTTCATTTTTTTTTCTTTTATTTACTCTTAAAGCACTTTAGTCAAACCTTGGCTACACCTCTTCTTTTTAAGGTCACCCGTGATCTCCATGGTGCTTAATCAGGTGGTCAGCTCGTATTTACTTTCATTGACCCAGTACCAGTATTTTACACATTTGAGACTCTATACATCAATCACTTTGTTAACTGGGCATTGTTTTTCTGTACTTTTATCCCTACTTTTAAATTTTGGCATTCTTCAGGACTTAGTTCTTTGACGTTTTCTCTATTTAGATTTGTTCTCTCTTGGTGACTAGACTCACCACCTATGCCCTTAAAACTCTTAGATTTCCATATCGAACACTGGCCTTTCCCTTTATGAAAGTTTTGTATATTTAATTGGATAAGTGGACATCTGCATTTTTGTATTAGACAGGCAACCCAAACTTAACATGTCAGAAATGGAGTTCCTCATCTTCTTCCTAAAACCTGCTTTTCCCTGGGGCTTACTCCTCTCTAATGGTAGTTTCATTCTTTTTGCTCTAGTCAAAAACCTTGAAATCATCTTTAATCTCTTCCTTTTTTCTCACTCCACATTTGGTATACGTTTTTCAGTAAAAACTCTGGATTCCACCTTAAAAAGATATCCAGATTTTGACTGTTTCACCACCTTATCTGCTGCTACCATTTTCTTAGCCACTATCATCACTTGTTTGAATAATTGCATTAACTTCCTAACTCCTGGGCTCAATTGATCATCCTTCTTCAGCCTCCTAAGTAGCTGGGAATACAGGTGTGTGCCAGCTTGTCAACTCAGTCTATGACTATATTCAGTTAAGTTTGATCTAATGCGTATATATATATATATATATTTATTTCTGTAGAAATTCGGATAAGAAAAATAGGGGAAGAAGAATTTGCAGTGCCTAGGACTTCAATTTGAGAAATACTGATTTAGTGAATTATTTGATTTCTGAAAAAGGTCATTAGCTTAAATTTGACTTATGTACAACTTTTGTTATACATACAATTTATAGAAAGAGTTTCCACGTTTATACTCACATTGTTTCCTAAGTGGTGAAGGCTGTGAATAGGGCATGAATGTTAAATGTTTTTTTAAAAAGCAGGTATGAAATTTTTTGTTTGGGGGTTTTTTGGGGGAGGGGTATGCCCTTTTATTTTGGTCTACGAAACTTGTTAAAGTATTCCTTTAAATCTTTGATAACATTTTAATAAATGGAAATTTGTGTGGTTTGTCTTTTCAGAGGCTAAGGATATTGTATACAAAGATTCTTGATGTTCTTGAGCAAATCCCTAAAAATGCAGCATATAGAAAGTACACAGAACAGATTACAAATGAGAAGCTGGCTATGGTTAAAGCAGTAAGTAGCTAAATCAGTTTTGTTTTCTTGACTTTAAGGTATCCTCTACCAATAGTAAAAACTTAGTAAGAGTATAAGAAAAATTGTTTGTTATAAACCCTTCTTTACATATGGATTTTAAAAATGTAAAATATTGAAACATTCAGCATTAAATGCATTTAAACTTTTAAATGCATTAAAAAGCATTAAAACTTTTTTTTTTTTACTTTTTTTACCTGAAACTATAGGAACCAGATGTTAACAAATTAGAAGACAAACTTCAGGGTGGCCAAATAGAAGAGGTGATTCTTCAGGTAAAGAAAAAGTTGAATATTTAGGTGTTTGTTTTCAAATTTTCATTTTATATAAAAGCACAAAGCTAACATTCCATACAGAAAGGAAACTAAATTTATTTATATCAATTCATCAAATATAAGACTAGTTATATGCAGAAAATGTGGTACTTCTAAGGTATACGTCAGTTAAATATAATTGATTGTAGATTGAATTTGTGAGGCTTTGTTAGAAGTTTGTAGTATCATACTCTGAGGATTAGTCAGCATGCTCTCCTTAGTTTAAATAAGTAATACAATATTACTGTCATTTTAATATTTTTATCTTTTTAGATATAATAGCTTATTTTAAGAGTATGGCATATTTTAATAGAGACAAATGCAGATGTTTTGAATAACAAAATATTCTTTATTTTTGGTTTTTGGAGCTTTTGACCAAGTTAACAATTAATTGTACAGTATATTTGAGACCTTGGGTTTACATTGTTTCTCAAGTACTAACCAGACAAAAAACATAGTGAACAGTAGGATATAAGCATGATTATGAAGAGAAATTGGGATTGGAAGAATTATAATTTGGGTGGCACCTGTGGCTCAAAGGAGTAGGGTGCTGGCCCCATATACTGGAGGTCGAGGGTTCAAACCCAGCCCCAGCCAAAAACTGCAAAAAAAAAAAAAAAAAAATTAATATTAATTATATTTAAGATATGTAAATCTTAAATTATTCTGTTTAGAAATCTTTCTTAACTATATGAGAAAACTGCAGTTTAATTTTAAGATACCGTTTATTAAAAAATGTTCAAATATGTAAGTATAATTAAAACCAAATGATAGATAAAAATATTGTTATAATTTATAAAATACAGGAATATATTTTAAAAGTTTATTAGCAATGAGGGGAAATGTACTACTTTTTTAAAAAAGGGACAATTTTCCTTGATCAAATTAAACTAACATAGATGTGTTTTCAAAGATGGTGTTTTGGGGACACTGCTGTGGCACTAAAAATTAACAAATTAACCCTCTTTTTTTTTTGAGTCTCACTTTGTCACTCTTAATAGAGTGCTATGGTGTCATAGCTCACAGCAACCTCAACCTCTTGGACTCAAGTTATCCTCTTGACTTAGCCTCCTAAGTAGCTGGACTTACAGGTGCCTGCCACAATGCCTGGCTATTTTTAGAGACAGGGTCTCACTCTTATTCTGGCTGGTCTTGAACTCCTGCCTTGGTTTCCCAGAGTGCTAGGATTACAAGTATGAGCCACTGCACTGGGCCAAAATTAATCCTTTTAGAAAGTAGTTTAGTGATGTGTATCAAGAATTTAATTCAAATTATGTAAGGATGTTTGACTAGTAATTTCAATTGAAATGACTGATGCTAATAACAAGAAAATGAAAAGTGCCCTTTGAACAAACATATTAATCAAAGCATTAGTCATACAACAAAAGGCTTTTTTCTCTATTTCTTAATTTTTTTTGTAATGATGTAAAACTTTTATGAGAAACAATTTCTACTAAAAAATGTTATTTAGCATTTTATTTTATTTCCTATGGTGTCAGCTCTGTTTCATTAAAAAATGTCATTTTGCTATATAAGCAGCTCTTAATTTAAGTAAAACACAGGGAGTAAGACTTTATTTTGATGAAAAGGATTTATTCAGTAGCTCATTTTAGCATGTACCTGGGGTTAGTATAAATCCAGTACAATATTGTAATTTATCTAAATTTAAGGCACAGAACAAAACCTGATCATTACTACTGTAAGCTGTTAGTAAGATGAGCTATGTTCACTGTTTAGAGTGCAAAAATACTATATTTTCATAACAAAAATACTACAGATGATTTAAAGCCAACTATAGAATACTTAAAATAGTATATTTTTTGCTTATTTACTTCCATAGTCTACTTATTTCTACAATCTATATATAACCAAAGGGAAAGCATTGAACAAAATTAAACAAAATTAAACTGTAGGTTTTTTTCTTGTATAAGTGGTGGCTTGTCTTATTTAACCCAGTACAGCCAAAATAGTCATTTAAACATATAATCACTATACAAATATTGAGATATTTTACCGTGTATATTCCTTTTTTAATACTAAATCTGCAAAATGAGGGGTGTAGTTTACCTTTTGCAGCACATCTGAATTTGGACTAGCTGATTTAGGTGCTCAGTAGCCACAGAAGGGTAGTGGCTACCATGGTAGCCTCTTTTCTAGATGGATGGTATGAGAGGAATGAGGAAAGGACAATGTGTCAGAAAACAGAGGAAATGGGTGGCATGGGCCAGATACAGCTGGGTCCAGGTGCCTAAGGGATAGGTACCCACCTCATGCTATAAAATGCCTTAGAGAAAACATGGACGTACAGGAGACCCAAGGCAAAAGGCGGTCAGGGAGACAGCCATCCTTAGGTAATACTTTGTCAGTATTTAAATTATTTTCTCATTTCAGTGTTAGTAACAGCTCTACTTCCTGATTCTATTTATCTATTCTTTAACTCATTGTTTCTGTGTAGTTGCTGCTACAGATTGGCTTTTTGATCACCGGCATAAATGGGATATTGCCTTTTAACTGCAGAATAATATCATTTGGTATAACAAGCACTTACTCTGTTTTTGAATTACTTCTTAACATTTTGACAGGTGCTTAATAATAATCATCTTTTAAGCTGGCTAGATTTGTCATAGGTCTTTTTTGTTGTAGAAAAAATATGAAATAAACAAGTTAGGAGGCTGAGGTAGGATGATCCCTTGAGCCCAGGACTTCAAGGTTATAGTGAGCTATGATTGTGTCACTGCACCCTAGCCTAAACTATAGGGTCAAGACCCTGTCATTAAAAATAAACAAACAAAAAAGGAATTACCTAAAATATATTTGTTAAATATGTTATAAATTGTGTTTGAAAGAATATTGAAATACAATCTCATCCAGGAATTAATTTAGTAAATATTTTTTACAGATCCTACATTCTACAGATCACTTACAAACTCTGAGTCTTAAGCAATTATGGGCATGAAATTAATACCGTGATTAACATTAAAAAATACAATGGAAAATAGAATATATTACTGCTAGTAAAGATAGTATTTTTTTTAATTTTATTTACTGTGTATTGTGGATTCCATAGTAAAGTGTATTTTTTTTACTGTTGAGCAACAGTAAAATGAAGTTTGTAAGCCACTGGCAGAGATGGAGAGACATATTTCTGATTCTCAAAAAACTTAAGAAACACAATTAAGGCTCGCTGCTTAGAGCTCAAGTGGCTAAGGCGCCAACCACATACACCAGAGCTGGCGGGTTTGAATCCAGCCCGGGTCTGCCAAACAACAATAACAACTACAACCCAAGAAATAGCCAGGCATTGTGGCGGGTGCCTGTAGTCCCAGCTACTTGGGAGACCGAGGCAAGAGAATTGCTTAAGCCCAGGAGTTGGAGGTTGCTGTGAGCTGTGATGCCACTGTACTCTACCCAGGGTGACAGCTTGAGGCTCTGTTTCAAAAAAAAAGAAAGAAAAAGAAACACAATTAAGATCTAAAGCTCACCGACTAAACTTTTGAACTCTAATTAGAAGAAATCAGAAGATATCCTTTCCTACTCATGATTGTGTAGCTGTGGGAATTAAGGTAATTTCAATATATAATATTCCACAGTTAATGTTGTAATAGGTCATGTGATATTAATATGAAAGTAGTAGCTCTAATAGTTACATTTCAGTTGTTTGCTCTGATAAATATCTGTTAAACAATAAAATCAAATGATCTTTTAAAAAATTTTATTAACAGGCTGAATATGAACTAAGTCTGGCAAGAAAAATGATGCAGTGGAAACCATGGGAGCCATTAGTGGAAGAGGCTCCTGCCAATCAGTGGAAATGGCCAATATAATCATTAGTGAATGACTTTGGTGGGTTGATGGGAAATTGATGTAATTAGTATTCTATTTTAAAAATGTGTCTAAATTATGTGACATTATCAAACTGATACAGAACCTATTTAAGAGACTTATTAAAATTGGTAATTATGGTAATAAGGTCTGGTGAATCAATTTTTGATTTGTAAAGGAGTCACAGATTATTTCAAAGATGATATTTCTGTGAACAGAGAGGTTATGGGAAGACTGGAAAATTAATTAGAAAACATTTCTACAGATCTTCAATGCAGAAGACATAATTGAAAAGTAAAATATCTTAGTAGTATCTTCAATATGTCATTTCTTTTTTTTAATATCCTGACAAAAAGAAAGGCACTTAATTATTATTGTGTAAACAAACTTATAGGTAAGTGTTTAAAGTGGTAAGAACAAATATTTTCAAATGTGATAAAATAGCAAAAGTAGCTAGTGGTAAAATTTGAAATTGTGATTAACATTGGCTGTGAGCTTATGTATATAAAGTAAAACTTAAACATGTAATTATATACTGATTACCAAGTCCATAATAAATGTCATTTTATTTTAGTGTTTATTTGAATTAGTTATTCTATTTACTTGGTTTCATATAGTCTTAACTTTGTCATCTTTTGTTACTCTATTTCTGAAAATTACAAAATTAGAATTTATTATAAAGTTGAAGAAATTGATTTGGTTAATTTTTACTTTAAAGAAAGATTTATTGTACACAGTTTGAAAACCTTTTTGTTGGACTTGAGTAAGTTAGCATTCTAGACTTTAATATTTAATTTTCTTGATCAACGCAACTACATCAAAAAGGAGGTAGATTTCTGTAAAAGAAGAGACATTAAGAGTCCCTGACATATGGGGGGAGGGCTTCTATTCTTAGTTATAGGGCTGTATATTCAAAATGGAATTACTGAATAGTTTTCACTAAGTTTCCACATGTGGGTTGGTGGGTATCAGACAAATACTATTCAAGGAAAGAACCTAGAGAGCTTAAAGGGTAACAAAGTTATTTTTTATGTTTTCACCTTTGCCGACCAGCCCCCAGCCTTTCTAAACACCTGGTTAAATTTAACTTGGTATCTCTTTCCTTTATAGGTAGTACTTTTCTGGTGTGTGTGCACATGTGCTTGTGTATATATCTGTATATTTTGTTACTCTGTGGCAAGACAAAATCTTTCAGAATGAGAAAGAAAATTTTGTTTTTCCTTTTCTTCCAGCATGTTTCTCTCCTCAGAGAGCTCTGACATGAATGTGAAATAAATATTAAATAAGGCAGATTGAATTACTTCCTTGAGTGTGGAAAACTTTTCCTGGAGAGGAAGTGGAAATAGTTGTAGAGAGTCAGAAGTTCAGGGGTTCTTATTCCCACTGTTCTAGTGTCATCATGAACTCAGTGACTAAATTGAGGCAATTTATCAAGCTCTCAGAATGACTTCCTTCCAACTTTGCAAAATAAATAGCGTTTATGAATTATAACCACATTTTTCAGCTCTAAACATTTACTTCAATTTGCAATACACTACTGAGTAAATATAGAGAAAGCATGGATTTCTTGGTGTGCCGTGGTCATACTTTTCCACACCTGGACTTAGTGCAGAAGATTTCCAATATCTGGGCATTCTTTTCCTTTGCTGTGAAAATGGCTTATATTTGGAATGATTTTGAGGATGAAATTATTAATAACTTCATAAGGGTAAGGTACGTCCTAGACAAACAGGATGTATAGCACCGTACAGCAGTAGGGCACCATCCTTCCCACACCAGGAGGAACAAGTCTGTCATCTGAATAGAGTAAATGTAATATGATCCTAATGTATATTTGTGAGGATGCTTTCGGGCTAATTTTCTAACCCATTTTTTCAGATCCTTTGGGCACATAAAAGAGATTTCTTGGTGTGCCTTCATCATAGTTTCAGTCCCATTTCTCTCATGTTTGTTGAGCATCTTTTATATTTCACCAGCATTGTTACTAAAGCCTTGTTAATTAAAAGGCGACCTTTCTGGTGTTTGCATTAGTGATGCTAGTTGAAGAATAGTAGTCTTATAGAATTAATGATATAGTAATAGTTAATGTTTGATTTCATGTGAATGCCAGGCACTGTTGTAAATACTTGACTAATTCCACTCATTAAATCTGCACTGCAACCTTAAGAAAGAGATACTGCAAGTTATCTTCATTTTTCAGACAAAGCAGCCAGATCCAGTGTGAGTAGTTTTCTCCTGCAGTTGTGGAACACGATGGCCTGGAGGAACTGAAGCAAAATGATGGTTTAGTAACATACTCAGGGTCACATAGCTAGTAAGATGTGGAGCTAAATTTTGAGGCTAGGCAATATGTTCCTTTTATACTATTCTTTGTGGATATACTTGGGATGTTATCGTTTCTGTTTGAACTGTACGGGCTGTACCAAATGAACCTAGATCCTGCTCTCTTGACTTTTTTGTTTAAAATAACTATAAAGAACAAATATGAACAGAAATTGTAAACTAAATTTCAGTTTGTGCAAAGATCTTCCTGTTGCCCATAAGCAGGTAACATCAATGAGGCAGGTTTCTAAAAAGTATTTCAATTTATTCCGTCATTCTTTCTGCCATCCCAGCTGCCCACACAGTCTTACACCTGATTGTTTTTACTCCTGCCTTTTTCTAATTGTTCCTATACATTTCCAGATTAAGCATTCTGATCACGTTGCAAATGATTTTTCTAATCAAAGATGTTCATTGTTTTGAGAACATTCTGCACTAACTTGAGTAATTTTCAGAATGGCCTGTTTCATTTCTCCCTGTTTTCTTCTACACCTGACTTAGTGCAGAAGATTTCCAATCTCTGGGCATTCTTTTCCTTTGGGATGAAAATGGCTTATATTTGGGATAACCATTTAATTTATTCAACCTTGAGTGATTTTGAGGATGAAATTATTAATAACTTCATAAGGGTAATGTATGTCCTAGACAAACAGGACGTATGGTACCCTACAGCAGTAAGGCACCATCCTTCCTACACCGGGAAGAACAATTCTGTCATCTGAATAGAATAAACATCATACCAACAATAGCAGTGATCATGTGCAGTCAGGCTTCAGGTTTCATTGTAGCCCTTCAACTCTCCAGCACTCTCTTATCACCCTGCCTTTTCCTCACAATTAGAGCTTTTCTTTAACTGTGTATTTTTTTAATCCTAAACTGTAGCCAGAGGGGTGAAGCTAATTAAGCCAGTAACAGTATTTATTAATGTGTCTAATTTCAAAGGGAGAAATTCAGCTATGGCTGCATGGGAAAATTTCTACAGATAGGCTAGTATCAGCTTTACCTTTTCCCTCTTACCTACCATGGTTATATACAGATAAGTTAACACCTTGCACAAGTACATTCAGGGTTATAGAATTAAATATTTGTATCAAGTTGCTGGATGTATCGTATTTTGCATTTGCTGAGTGCTGTCTTTTTATTACAAGTCAATGTTCATTGACTTTGTAGCCTATGCTATAATAATAGTTTAGTAATGCTAAGTTTTGGAGAAAAAAATAAAATTAGGCGATAGGAGTTGGGTTTAGAGGAGGATGAGGTTTTATTTTAGACAGGATTCACAGGAAATCAAAGGGGGGATATGACAAGGGGTTTGGATTATTGATGGGGACTGGAGGAATCTATCTGGAAGACTATCAATATAATCAATATTTTAGACGGTGAAGAAAATTAGAAAAGTAGTAACTTAGCATAGGCTATCCTTAAATCCCAGTGTCTTAACCAAGTTTGGTTTTTATTCATATTTCATGTCAAAGGAGGTTTAACAAAGAGTGTGCATAGGATTTATACAAGAAATCCAGGCTAAGCATGGCACCATCAACACATACTTAAATGAACATAGTAATGGTGAATTAGAACATGGCAAATCATACCTAGAAAGAAAAAAACAAAACCAAGGTTAAAAATTTGTTTTGAACGTGCCATGGAGTTAATATAAACTGAACTTGGCATGCATTGTCATCAATAAAAATTTTCAAAGTGATGTTTAGCTTTATATTAGCAGCTAATCTTTTGTGGTATGCCTAAATGTAATTTATGATAGATTAGCTTCTATATATGACTGTAAATGAAAATCATTGTAAAAATTTCTTCTTTTGGTATTTCTCATGATCTTCAACCATTTTTTTAAAGTAAACCTTTTAGCTTTTCTAAAGATAAGTATTACTATTTTCTAGAATATTGTGATTTTACTATCCTTTTCTAAGGGGAGATTTTTTTCTTTTCTGGGTAAAACAACACCATAGTTCCTTATCTAAATTTCAAGTTTCAAAAACCTCAGAAAATAGTTTTTCATAACTCATTGGCAGCAAACCTGACCTAAATTGATATAAGGCTATCTGTGATCTTATTCTGCTATAGAAATATTAATGTATTTGGTTCTGGACTATTTCCCCAGACCCACTGAAGGTGTTACATAAGGTGTGTGTCCATGTTGAATATTTGAATAAAAAATACATCTACCTCAACAGGTTTCACAAAAGGGACAATGGACTTACATTTCTACTTCTTGACAAGCTTAGAAAGAGGCATTATAATCCGAATTTAATCCACATTGGTAATTTCCAAAGCATGATTTTCAGGTCCTTAGTTTTCTGAATTATTTTAATATTTAAAAAAAAATTCTTTGTTCATTTTAGCCTGGAATAACTATGGGAAATACTTTGAAATGGTTAATTTTTTATAAAGCCACTAGGTGGCATCTTTGTAAATATAAAACCACAGAAAAGAATGTATATTACATAAACAAATGCTAAGATAAATAAAGGTAGATGTTCCATGAGAGATAAAAAGGAGTCATTTTGGACAATAAAGCCTTTGAAAATGCATGGATTTGTTGTGAAAAGGAGAATGGAAAATGATATTGTAAAATTACTCTTATTTTTGGAATTGACAAAAAATCACAGGCATACAGGCTGCCCAAGAAACCTATTAAATTAGGCTCTTATGTTAAGATTGAGTTGTATAAATTCATCTTCACAACAAACTGTCGATAAAATAAGAATATATAGTGGATAGCAAGTCACATTTTGAGGTACTTGAAGATCTCTCCCACCTATCTTTTTTTCCTCCATCTTGTGCCTCTATTCCTAAACTTAGTATTT